CCATGGAAATGTATGAGGAGTCCAAGAAGAATTGACTGCTGCTATATTTGTTCTCATCCCAAACAGAAACAATTTCAGACAAATAGAGACTTATTTTTAGCCACATTTCTATTTTGAAGGGACCTAAAATGGATGCAGTAGCCCATTTACTGAAAAATGATGTGCTAAGGACTGATCTTGCATCAGAACAGGGAATTAGAAATGCATGCCCAAAGACAAATTATGATCTGGAGAACAGTGGAGCGTTTTCCTCCTTTCCTCATGCTAATGTGAGATGCAGGTAGTGGCCTGTTATTGTGACTGTCATATTTTAAGAATAGTGAATCTCTGCATGGCTTCTGGGTGCTTGGTTGTTACTGAGTCAACTGCCAGAACAGTGAGATGAAGCAAGAATGGGCATTGCTTTAAGGTGTTCATCTGTGGAAAAACAGATGTTATAATTGCATGGAACAGGAAAAGGGGTATCAGGGAGTAATCTTGCCCCTAGGAATTCAGGATTTTTATATTATTTGCATTCATCTTCTTTCACTCACCCAGCAAAGCTCACTGTTAAACTAACGCTTTCACATCAGGTGGCTGCAGTGCCTCAGGCTGGTAGGTGTTTAGGTGCTGCAGAAGTAGTGGAATTTGAAAAAAAAGCAAGCTTTAGCAACTGCAGTAATCCTTCCCATAATTTTGCTGGCTCCAGGATTGGGCAAAGTAGTGCATTCCGCTTCACCTAACATCACTGCTTTAAGTTTGGCTGCAGAAAAAATGAAGGGGGTAACAGTTTTAATGTGCAGGCAAGTTTGACCTTTCCATCCCAGTTTCTCAAAGATCCTTTGGCTTTGGGCATGAGGCACAAGTCCAGATTGCCCAGCTTGATTTTGAACTGCCACAAGCTAGTCAGGGCCCTTGGTCTAGTTGTGCATCAACATCTCACTCTGAATGACATTGTCTCTCTTAACTACAGCCTCTTAACAGTCTCTACCCAAACACTGCTACTGCAGGTGGTGAGCACTACAGCAATAGACCGTCTGTGCAGTTACCTGCTCTGCTCTGCCTCAGTTTAGGCTGGATGCATCTCCCATTATACATCTGGAGGTGTTTCACTATTTAGATGATTATCTTCAAGCTCAGACTTTCATCCTTGCACAATCAGTTTGCAATCAAATGTTTTGGAATACTTTCTGGCCATTTATCACACAATTGATCTCAACAACCTACTTTCAGAACGTTCTCAGAAAGCATTACCATGTAAGTGTGCTTCAAGCATGGTCAGTGATAATCTCTTAAACAGTAAGAACCAATTTCACTTTGATATGGACTATCCTATTCTGACTTCCGAGTATGTTTGGATGTGTATAGCATTATTATTTGCATGGGAGACAATACTTAGCAAGACACAAAACAATAGGCACTGTTAACATTCATCCTGGGTAAAACAGCTTTCCTACTGTGTATTCATATTTCACACTTTCCACACTAAACACCACTGATTTCACAAAACAGTCACTGCACTGAACTCTGCCCTTGGCACATGTAGAACAAGGCCTATCTGGCACAGCTGTGTCTTGTGCCATTGCAGACAACTGAGCAGTTTTGGTTGTTCATGTGGGTTTCTGCTTCTTCAGCATGAGGTGGTGGAACCACTCATTGAAGTTGGGGCCCTGTTTTGTGTACAGGCAACCCAAAGCAATCCAGGTGAAGAGGATGAGGTTACACAGAAATAACATCTTACCCCTTTCCCACAATCCAGACGATTTCCATACTGCTTGAGATTTGCTGCAAAAGGAATGCTATAACTTACACCCGACAACAAACTTTCAGGCAAAATATATTTTCAACTCCAATAAAACCCCCTGAGTTTTCTATCAAAAACACATCAATTTTTCAAGCAATCCTACCTATTAAAAACCAGTACTGACTGGTTTTCTGTCTGTTATTGGATTTTTTAGTCCTGGTAAATATATGTGACCTAAAAATATATCCTTACTGCTCTATGGAAAAAAAGTTAGACTGCATAACCGGGCACAGTAATAAGCATTCCAGTTCCATTAAACTAACTCAATTAATTTAATCACAATAAGAACATGACAAAAACATTTAAGAAGTTGATGAAACTCCCCTTTTGGTCCTGGAAAGTCCATTTCCTCCATTTCTTATTACGTATATGTGATGCAGAAGAAATCTGTGCTGGCAGCGCTCCAGTTCAAGATAGACATTATATTGCTGCTGCACAGTGGCAAAAGAATTTCATAAAAATGTCTGTTGAGCAATTAGAAAAAAAGCCAGATGTATTATTCCTCTAAGACCATGACAGAAGCTTGATTTCCACTTCAAAAGGTAATTCAGAATGTTTTAAACAACGGTTATCAAACATTTTAAATTCAGCAAGTCTGAATAAGGTGTGACTGAAAATTTAACAGAGCTAATCAAGAAGTTCTCTGGATCATCAATACTATTTCAATGAATTTCACACCACTAGGAAAGATTTCACAGGACTGAGGTGTGGGAAGAATTAATACAGCATCATGTTTTCCATTGGGTAGGTAGACTGATCTAAATTAACATAGCTGGACAACCAAAAGAAAATAATGGAAAAACACATAATTTTTGACTATTCCAGGGCATTGAAAGCAAAACTAATCAAAATTATTTAAGCTTATAAGAAATAGAGATGGTCAAATAAAACTGACTTCTTATACTGATCAACTAGAATTAGAAATTGGTTGAAGACAAAGCCAACACATGTAGTAATTATACAACTAATGGGCATTTAACAGTGTGCCACATGGCAAACTGAAGGCATAATTATACAAAATTAACTGGCTTGTGTGAAATATATTGCAACTACAGTTTCTGAATTGTATACAGAGATCTATTAAGCACTATCTTCTACTTTCATTTTAGAAATGCTATAAAATTGGTTCTTGACTGTAACATTATTTAATATTGTTTTCAATCATTGAAATACAAGAGAAACAAAAATCTAAAAATGACAAAGTTTTAAAGAAGAGAAGCAGAGAAAATTAACGATTATGACTGGACACATACTAAAACCAGTTTGTTTCATTTTCTGGCTGCAAACTGCATTCAAAGGAATGTGGAAACATACTTACAGGACAGGCATTCACCAACCACAGAAGCAACAGGCCCAGGGATTATTTACACTTCCGATCTGATGTCATGGCCAAGACTGCTACAAAAATGAGGCAGTGTAGCAGAAAGGAGGGTTGAAACTGTACAATTCATTAACCAATCCTGTTTTGCTAATAGTGTTCCAATTAAAAATGTATGTAAATTATTTTAAAGGATCCAAAGAAGAGTGTCACAGATGAATAAAGGATCCAAAAGATTTGAAAGTTTATTTACTTAGTTTAAAAAAGAAAGCAGAAGAATGACTTGTTCAGTTTGTAAATGCCTACAGTGAAAACAGCAATGTCACAGCGTGCACTTCAGTTTAGCAGACAAAAGGCAAAGGATCTGACAGCTGGATACTGAAAGATGACAAATTCAGGCTCAATATAAGAGGCATGTTTTTAACAGTAAGTAATTACATTTTGAACAATTTGGGTGGATTCTTAATCTTAGCAGCTTTCAGATCAGTACAGGATGGTTCTTCTAAAAACAGTTGTAGTTCAAACAAGAATTTGAGGAAGTCTTGGAAACTGCTCCCTGCAAAAGAGCAGACTGAACACATGGCATTTCCTTCTGCCTTCTGAATCAGATTACACTGGAACTGGACGTACCTCAAAGGAGGTGGATTTAAGAAGGGAAGTGGGCACGAGCATTTTGGACATGTTGGACCACGCAATACAGCTGGGGCTATATGGCTGCACTACACTGCAGCCTGAAAAGCACCAACTAAGTAGCACCTAAGTGTAAAACTGTGTTGATAGAGGCCCCACATTTCTGTACCAGAAATCATGAAAATAAAAGCAGTAACAGCATGCTATGTTCAATCTAGCAAATGCCAGAAATTTTGCATGCCAGCAGATTGCGCAGCCCAAGCCTGCAAGGGTACTGCTCCTTTCAGACTGTTTGTGTCATGAGAGAAAAAAACAAGAGGGGTGCAATGCACCTGAAATAAGCAGTTCACCTTTTTTGCCTCAGTGAAATAAAGGTGAACAGGCCTGACACGCTGCAGACAAGACTTCACTACGTAAACGAAAAGGTAGTTGGAAGAGATAGATGTCTGCAAATTTCCTGCTTGAATTGTATCCATACCTTCTATAAATACAAAATTTGCAAACACTGAGTTTCCAGTCTCAGGAAATTAAACGACTTCAACTGATGGCACTCCTTTTTGGATGTAAAGGAATGGGATTCAAGTTAATGTCTTGTCTAGTGCCAAGTAAGAGCTTTAACTACAATCTCTCGTACCTTAGGACAAGATTTCATGCCACAAGGCTGCTGGATGTTTTGGGTGTGACTGCCAAGTCTCACCTTGAGAGTCATCTTTGAACAAAGAAAAGACCATATAAAGACAGCCTCTTTTGAAGAAATGTGTTTTAGTGAAAAGCTGGTATACAGATTTAGCTGGAGAATGTTCTCCAAGAGATAGTGTAAGATTTTTCACTCAAGTAATTCTTTCAGTAGCCAAGATTCATATTTCACAATTTAGAACTTCTGCATACCCAGCTGACAGAATTAAGATGCAGCGTAGGAGTTCACCCTGTGCAGACGGTGAGCATAATGTACAGTCATCACAGAGACAACAGTTCAGAGATGGAAAAATCCTTCCAGGTTGTTCATGACAGATCTATGGCAATGGTCACCCACGACAATATATTTTTAGAGTTCTGTACAGCCCACTTCTATGCATGCTCCTCCCAGAGACCCTTTAATTCATACATACTGTTAAAGCTCATGTGAATCTCTTCAGCATGATACATCATAGTATCACTTTTGGATCTGCGCTTTCCCACATGGGCAACATGCTCTTGTGGAGCTGTATTTAAAGCAGGCTGTGGAACCAGGGACTTTGCAGTTTAACAGCATTAAAATAGCCCACAAACTTTTCAAGTCCATATTTTATTTCATTCATATTTCACAGTCTGTTTCTGTAAAGTTTTAGCAAAAAGGTCATGTTCTATAACAGAGTTCTTAGGCTACTGTATTCAGAGCTAACAATGGACTTTGAAAGTACAGAAAATATTTACATTCCAACTAGGACAGTAGAATTTCAAAAAGACATAGCAAAAGTAATCAAAAATACCAACATTTATTAAACTGTAATAGAAAAACAGCAGTCTGCCTGACCCATTAAGCTATCTCACCTGCTAGTTGTCAGCAACAACTGAAGACACAGCAGGCCACTCAACTGACTGTATAGACTGAGATAGTTGACTTCAGCTGACCTGTTAATATGAAGATCAAAAAAAATTGTAAGTTCATTGCTTACAGGTTTCCAATCACAGGCTAATATCTCTGTTCAGATCTACTGTACCACTTCCCTATTCTGGTCCTGATGTAAGTCAACTGATTTTCTCAATGCATTTCCAAGCTAACCTATTTTATTACAGTGCGCCGAGAAAGGAAAGCTTTAGGAGGGCTTCCATGAACAAAGGCAGCTAGGAGAATCTGAACAGAATGGTACCTGATGACATATTTATCACAAGGGGCCTTCAACATCTTTTTTTTTTAATATATGTTGCATCAAAATTTGCAATTATCTAGGGATATGGTTCCTAAGGGGCTCCAGATTTACATATAAGAGTTCCAGAGTGGATTTTTCTAGTTCAGTAAATACTATTTAAGTCTGGACTGATGCCCAGTAGGAGATTTCTAAACAGCTGCTGGACTTTATTCACAGATTTATTGAATATATATTTATACAAATTACACCAGCTGAAAGGCCCATTAGCTGTAAGCACGCCCACCTCAGCCCACCCTCAGTGCTGTCAGGGGAAAAAATACATCTGGTACTATGAAGATTATGAAAGATTTCTATCAGCTGAAGTCTCCCTAAGTCAGATAACATTACCCTGCAAGGGAAGTTTTTAATTCCTTTTTACTCCATCAGAGCAGTGGAAATAGGATGGAGGTCATCAGTAGACTCATTTTTCCTTATCTCTTGAATAGCTAAGATTGGACTTCATTTTTTCTGACTTGCTTTTATCTGTAGGTAGCCTGAGCCCATCACCTTGTTTTCTAGGACAGTCATTTCCTAAAAATACGTATTCTGAACTTCAAATTCTCCACTCCATTTAATAGGTAGAATAAGAACTTTAGGAAAAGTAGGAAAAATATCCTATGCTCTTTCTCATACCTCAGGCTTCTAGGTCTGTTACATGTATCTGATCAATGGAATCACCTCCTCTCCTTCTTGTAAGAAGCTCAGAAGAAACAAGCCCATCTTCTTTCAAAAATGGCCCAAAGGTACCATCACATCTATCCTGCCAGATGTCATTTGGTGCAGATATCACAACTGATAGACTGTGTCTAGACTGGACATGTCCTACATCGTTACACTGCACTACGCTGCTTTCTGGGTTTGCTGGCTGAGTTTCAGTATTGCTGGGCTGTGAGTTATGAGACATCCTAGTATCACAACTGTAGCAGCTTATTTAAAAAATACATCACAGAACAGTCTATGAACACTTTTAATCAATTCCCACATACTGTACCAGTCTTCAGTAGGTGGACAAGATCCCACAAAAGGCATGGCTACTAGTTTGCTACAGCTCCACTAGGGCAAACCCTACCACAGTATTTCTCTCTAGGCCCATAGCTAGTACAAATAAGACTCATGTGCTTCCTCTTTGTAAGACATGTATAGCATTTCTTTCCATCAGTGTAAAAAGGGTGAAATCCCCTATTGGAGAGAAGTCCCTTACAATTTCTCTAATGCACCTATTTGTGGAAGACTACAAAAGCCTTCTCTGCAGTCTTCTGCAATATTGACTCCCAGAGGCATCAGAAAATGAACACATCTAGTCACAAATTACCAAGACATCCACTGTACTTTCAAGTTTCTTTTTTAAGAATCTGAAACAGATCACAGAGGTAATCAAAGCATCAAAATAGCCAGTCATCTAGATGGCACACTGAAATCATTGTCACACAGAAAGGAATATATCATAGATGATACAGATTCTTTAACATTCTTAGACAAAGCCATTCTCAGTTTTCTACACAGACTGCTCTGGAAAAAAACCCTTCAGACTGGAGGGAGTGACATAGTAAAGTGTATACATACACTGAAAAGAAATAAATCTCTGTAAAACAGCTTTTGTAACATGACTACTGTGGATCTCCACTAGCAAGATATCTTAGGCCAACATCAAGGCCAATATCTTACACATACAGTAGTGTTAGCTATATCTCAAGGTAAGCAGGTTAGGAATGATATAAATCTATACGGAGGAAAAAATGTTTTGGAATTTGTTTAGTTTTTTGAAGTTCAGGCTTAGGTAGATAAAATTTTTAGGGAGTTTATCCAAGTTGACACATCCCCACCCCTAGTACGTGCACCTGATTTCTCTAAATAAAGAAAAGAGACGGAAAAGGATGGGAGGACATCACCATAGGCCACTATGCTCCTCTCATTTCACCTTTTTTTTTTTTTTTTAATACATAGAAACCTGATTTTGCAGAAAAAAATGGAGTTTATAAAGATATACATATCAACTAATATGCAATTAGTCTTGTCAAATTAATCCTGGTAAATCAATACTTTCCTTGTCCTTTTTTTTGGTTGTATCACTGCAGTTGTTAATATCAATGTTTAATCTGCCAGCTACTGAGAAAACACAAAGCCACCATCCTTGTACACTTCTTACCATTAATGCACATGGCTTTGGAACAAACACTTCCAGTGCAAGCCTTGTGATTTTTATTCACTCAACTGTACAGATCAAAATCTAAAGTATACTCAGCAAAACATGCCATTTCACTTGGGTCCTAAGACTGCAATGAATACAGAATGCCTCTTCACCACAAGCAGATTTCCACTAATTCAAATGAACTGAAACCCCAAAGCAAGACTCTCTGCTACCAGAAAAGACAGCAACAACCTAAAGATACCACCCCACCAACACTGTTTCCTCTCCTCACACCAACTCCCTTTGCCTACTTGGAATTGATGATGGCCCAACAGTGGGGCCTGTTCTGCTGTTGCACTCTCAGAATGGACTATCTGAAGATGGGAATAGGAGGATGTTTGCAGAATACTGCAAACTACTATCTTTTCACTGCAAGAATGGGAACATGCCAGCAGAGCACATCCATGCTTCGCGAGTCCAAGGAATTATACAGAGTTAGCATGGAGTTCAAGTCACACTGCAGTACTAAGTACCCATTCTGTCAAGAACCCACCATACTATTCCAGTCCCACAAATTGTTAATGGCAATGTGACTTTGCAAGTCTTGGACTCAAAAAATGCTCAAGTAAAAGTCTGAGACAGGAAAAAGGAGGCACAGAAATAAGCTGGCCAACAGCTATGCACCTTTTTACTACATGTTGGGATATGTGGGGTCTTCGAGGTTGCTATCAGCTTTGTCAGACCCTGTTAGAGAGGCTTCTAGCTCTGCCCATGACTGTGGAGCATTGTTCTTTATTGCCTCTATGAAAAGTTGTGTTTGGTGCTTCAGCCGGTCCAGCTCGGCCTGAGTCACCTGGTTCTGATGAATGAGCTCCTTGGTCTTTAAAGTGATCTCCAGCAATCCTGACCTGCGTAGCACAACAAGAGTATTCTGAAAGCGTCTGCACTTGCTTTGTTGTTGCAAGAGCAGCTCGGGGGTAGTGCAAAGCTCTTCTGGTATCAGTGGGGGGCTCCACACTGCAGACTGTGTTGTAGTCTGTGAGGCACCCTCGCTCTCATGAAGGGTGCACTTTGCTGCCTGCAGAGCTCCAAAAGGCAAAAGGGGAGTCAAACCTGGCACTTTTGGAGTGTCACTGGAAACATGATGAAAACCAGAAAGAGCTGACAGTCTTCCACTTGCCACCAGAGCTGAAGAACTTTGCTGGTTAGAATCCTGAGGGGTCTTAAAGCTAACTGGTAGAGGGGCAAAAGGACTAGTAGGCAAGCCTGTGCTCATCAACACAGGAGAAGTCTCCAACTTGGGCGCTTCCGTGCAGAGTCGTTTATGGCAAGTGGTTTCCTGACATTCTTCTAGATCGAAGGAGTGATCTCTTTTGCAGGGCTGTGGTGCTATTTTGGGGTAAGAATTCAGGATGGGCAAGTAATTAGTGGAGTCATTTCTCTTTTTCCCAACAGGGTGAGGATTAATGGGAGGTGGGATTGATGGACGAAGGAACACTAGTTGCGGCTGAGCTGGAATCACTTCAAAGGATGGCTGCACAGTCCAAGACTGGAGCTGTGATGAACTCCCCTGAGAAGTGAAACAGGGAAAAAACAGAAATCTTACAAAAGCATTGTGGAAGAGAATCAAAAAAGTCTTAAACAAAACAGGACTGTGACATTTCTCCGTATTTGATATATACTGTCCAAATAATGTGTTCTGAACAGTTCTCCATCAAACTCCTCCTTCTGCTTCTGTGACAACAGGCATAATGCTGGAATCAAACTTGTAATCCATAATCCTTTCACAATGCAACAGCAGATAAATTTAAAAACAATTCAATCTGAATTTATACATTTTTTCCTAAAGAAGGATTACAGTGCATGTTTAAATTGTACAATGTTCATGTAAAAGTTTATTGCAGACTTGGAGTCAAACAACAGGTGCACAGAAAAGTTGAAAAATAATTAAGCTAGGTGGTTATGAAATACACTAAGAGTGAAGGAAAGAGTGCTCAGACATTTTAGGAACAATTCAGACTTCCTCTGTTGAAAGGTAGCAACTCAAATCTTGTTGATTCTATTCTTACAGCAAGCTTTTGAAATCGTTACTTAAAATAGACAACAGCTGTTCAGTAAGTCTTGCAATTTAAGCACAATACATGGTTTCAATAAATTTAAAAACGTGAAGTAGAAAAAAAAATGCTGAATAGCAACCAATGCAAGCAAAAAAGCCTGCTGTAAGCCCAGAGGAGTTTAACTTCATACCTCTGGTGAAACAGTGCACTCCAATAAACCTTAAAAGCATTACATTTCAAGAAAAACACCCAAGTTTTTACTCCCTCCCACAAGCCATATTCTGGAATAGAGGGGTATTCATTTATTTTTACAAGATATTACCTCTTTTTCCCCAACACATTACTACAGATCTTCATGAGATCTTCTGGCCAAAAACATGCCTGCTTTTCCCCAAAGATATCAGATGATCTTCTTAATATATTTAAGTCATCACCACTACAATTATACTAATATCATATATTGTCAGCTGCTTTTTCAGTTCTTTACAACCTGGAACACAACTGGCATGCTTGCTGAAGGAATAATTTTTAGCTACCACAAATACATTTTATTATTTTTAGTACTATCTGAAATCCATATACTTTCCACCAGTCTCGTAAGTTTTAAAAGCTAACATGCTTTGACAAAGTCCATTTCCCCAGTAAAGGACTTGAACTTACCAAAACCAGGCATTACCCACTGATTAGGACACTGAGACTTGGAGATAACATTCTAATAATTACCTACTCTGACACAATGTTTCTTCAGTTCTGTGGGCAAGATCCTTATGGAACAGGGGTACAGAAGCACTAGCTGTAAAATCAAATACTACCACCATAACAGAGAAAACAGGACATACAAAAGAGAAGCATGTGGAGATGTTAGGAATGAGGAAGCACATAAATACTGTGGCTATACATACACAGGAGAGAACGTGTAGCCTTAAGGAGCAAAGGTTTGGAGTCAGAAGTCGCCATGTCCTGCACAACTGTACAGCACCCAGCACAGCAGAGCCCCAGGATCACTGAGGCCAAAAGAGCTGTGGTAACTCTTTGTCTTGTTCTTGGTTTCTTCCTATCTCTTATCTACTTTCTTCTCCTTTTCCTTCTCATATTCCACTCTGCTATTTTTCTCCTACTCAAAAACTCATTTTCAGTAGAGGAGGACACATTTATTTTACTAATTTTGCAAATTGTTGTGGGATTTGTTGGGTTTTTTTTAAATGAAAGCTATGAAAGACAACATCCTGTCTAAAAGGTCTTCCTATTTATTAAGGACTTTTACAAGACTGACAGAAACCTTGACAGCAGTAGCACTATGTTTTTGAGAACTGATCCCCCCTTGATTTTTTTTTTTTTTTTAGTAACACTGTTGTTAGCTGTTTACATTCTGAAATTGGGCCAGTAGGTAACAGCAGGTAACCATCACTGCACAGGATCACAGTGGTTCCAAGACAGAAGGATGATGCTGATTGAAATTGAAACTGGAACAAATAAACAGCAGTAACTGGATGCTGCCTTTTTTTTTTTGGTTCAGTGAGCCCAACTGAGTGCAGTGCTGAAAAGATCATTTTAAAAGACGGTCAACATGACTATTTGAGATTACCAGGCATAATGAAAAAAGAGGAAAAGAAACTTCATTATTATTCTGACCTAGACTTGTTGCTTTTGTTTATTATAGTAAACATTTTTCAATTTAACATTATTGTCCTTAACCATACATAATTAGACTTAGATGTTATGACACACTGCTCAAGAGAACCAAGTGGTAATTTTATCTACCTCCAACACTTCCTTGCCAAATTCTGTCTTTGCTACACTACTAACTTTTTTTAATATATATGTGGTTGTGGTTTTATATATATATATACTTATATTTATATATACATAAAGCTACTTATTATTAGCTGCTTCTGCCAACTGTTTGCAACACAACACGGAGCTTAACAGTAAACTACCACTGCAATCAGTGTTTAATTTTTGAGCTCTGGGCCAAAGCCTATCAACCTTTAGCGAAGCTTGACCTATTCCCTGCTATAACTAACTTAAGAATTTGTTAACATAGTATAAGGCACAATGCTTAGAGAACAGAATCATCTCCCCTACAAATCTGCTAAATACTAACAGAAACCCATATCTGTATGTATTGTGTATCACAATGATACACAGTGTTTAAAAGGTCTTGCTTGTTGTCATAACAGATTCATTAGATTTACAGATTCATCAGAAAAAGAATCAGGATCTATATTCCTCTTTGCCCTTCTCACTGTATTCTCAGAAGTATTCTAATAAAAAAAACACTGAAGAACTTTTGCTCTATTCCAAAAATGAGTGTAACAGAGCAAGAGATCTAATAATAGGACAATACTTGGAGCTCTTGTATCTTCTGTTAAAATTTAAAAGCTATGGGTCTCACAGATGTGCTGGAGGAACTACACATTACAAAATACTTGAGAGTATAAATAGGGAATGTAGTTGTTGCAATGTGAGCCATCACAGGCAGTTAAGGGAAACAGCTACTAAACTAGAAGTATCACAGCTAACTTCAGACAAGGATTCAATATTTGCATTTATAACATTCTAGATTAGTGTTTCCCATTGCATATGAAGCCCTTATAGGACCTAAGAACAAGGAAACAAGCTTTCCATTCTACTTCACCATCTTTATTGAATGAAAAAGACAACAGCAATTTTCAAAAGGAAATCACCCATTTCTTTGGTGCTATTTACATAGCATTGTTAAAGATGTATTTTGGGGGGATTCCTTTAAGACAAAGAGGTTTAGTAGATGTAGCAGAGCTTCTCCATCTCACTTTTTTTTTTCCATCTTAGTGATTCTAGCCTGCCCCTCAAAAGAACAGACTGCCACATTAGAACTTAAGTTACCAGTTACTTTCCAGACTGCAACAACGCAAAATCTTTTTGAAAGGAAAAGTATTTTTTTAAAAAAAATAAGAACATGGAATATTTTTCAATATATTAGTTCTTACCCACCTGCTTAACTAACACATTCTTCATTACAACCATAGGAGAAAGTGCAGGAAAGGAGCTGCTTGTGGTCCTCGGGCATTGCCAAGGTCCATCCTCTGCATTCCAACACAACGTATTCAGCACATCCTCAGAGTCCGTCTGCTCCATAGCACTTGGGCATTCTGAACTGCCATCTGCCAGATGTAGAATTCAGCTGTTAGTTGTTTCCCATGCAACATGCTTACTACTTCCTTTCAGTTTTGCTTCCTTTCAACCAAGTCATAAAGAACAAGAAAGTTTAGATCTGTAATATCAACAAAATTAGAGCTGCTGTGACAGCTGTCAAATAGCCTTTAATAAAAGGCTTTATATTTCAGATCAGTTCTCATAGACAAAAAATCTATGACTTTTTGTTCTTTTGTATTTAGCCTCCAAGCAACTGCATACTATCATGAAGGTTGCTCTAAAAACTGGTACAGGAAAGAACTACAGGCTTCAGGATTGCCACATCCATAGTTCGTGCTGCAGGCATTTTGTGTCTTGAAATTTTCTATCTAAAAACTCAGTACAGCAGATATCTCTCACAAAAGTGCTTTTTTTCCCTCTCCTTTAAAGGCCATCTTTGCACAGTTTTGTTGACTATTAAAATGGCACACTGTGTCTACATTTTAGTGATATTATAACAATTACTTTCTGGTTTATCTAGTCAGACCATAAGAGACATTAGACAGTATAATCCAACAGTTCCTTCATCACTACAAAGAACAAAAAGTAATTTTGCCATCTCCACTTCTAGACTCTCTAGTCTGAGATCCTTCCATAAATTTTTTTATTAGTCACATTTTAAATTCCTATGCCATTCAAATTCATAGGATGAACTTTATAACTAGATAAAGTTCCACTCCAAAAGACTTCAGTGGTAGGATGATTGCAGATGAAACCTATCTTGCATAGAAAGGCCCTCCATGGTAATGAGACACAAACTGTAAGGGGTTAGTCACATTTGTCAAACATCACCAATAAAAGCAAAGCCTGAGCAAGATAAAACACAAAAAAGTTAACACAGTGGTTTTCTAAACCTGAATATCCAGAGTCTTTGTCAGATTCAGCTGCCGCCATGCTGAGGCGATGGTTGATGCTCTTCATTTCCATCACTTTGCCCAGTAGTTCTTCAAGGGTCTCAGGAGATGATTGTTCTGTCTGAGTGCTTCCATAGTGCCAAGGGCAGTTTTTAATGCCTTTTCCATCGAGGAACTACAAAAACAATTAAGAACAAAGAAAGGCTTTCTCTGAATCTAAAGAAAGCTCCATTAGTATAAGACTACAACAGTGGCCATGTTTGTCAATAAGGAAGTCAGGTTATGAAAGGTTTGCTGTATCTGTAAAGCCATCTGTAGAATTCTATTAAACTTCCTGCCTCACATTTGCCACATTTATCACATATTTACAGTAGAAAATAAAATTGCCAATAAAACAAGTTTATTCCCTGCAAAACTCTCAAAACTACGCATGTTTAATAACATATTACAGAGTAGAAAAGAGGTAATAATTCTTTGCGTCAACTGAAACTTTGTAGACTCTTCTGAACTTAAGTTTTACACCTGTCTTCAGATGATTTTTCAAGTTTCAGGAAGGTTTCCATGAGCCAATCTTTCAGTCCCCTGCATCAACTACAAAAGAACAATATCATAGTAGGCATGGCTTTGAATCCTTTAGGATAGGCTAAAGATGCCAAAATAACAAAGGTATAGGAAGGAAGAACCTAACTGAAAGAAAAAAATATGGCACATGTATTTTAATTTTTAAAAAAGTATTTACTGAATGCCATCAACTAATCAAAGATATTTCAGAAGTACTGAAGACATGGATGCAGCTGAAGGAGCAGAATGCACCCATCTTGTTCAGCTCCTTTCTTCAGGGGTTAAGCAAGGCAGAGTACAGAGCACAGGGCAGCCAGTCCTACTCAATTACCTGAAGCAGGACCATTCTCATACTGAAAATTTCTGAGTAAAGTCCAGAGAAGATTCACCTGGAGAGCACAATGCATCAGTAATTTCTAACTCCATTATGAATTCTGTTGGACAAGGTAAAAATTCCTTACTGCACACACAAAACTTGGGAAATAGGAACTTCATTTCCATATTTGCTAAAAAGGTAATGCCTAAATCTATGAAGTTCAGCAACATGGGTAACCAAGATAAAACAGCAGATACAAAGTGTATGGTTGTTATCTGTAACTAAAACAATGTCCCTCTGACTCAAGTAGGACAGTTGCACATCTTCTTTTATTCTGCCAGTGAGCTAAACAGAGACTTCAAGAAATACCTCAAAATACTGAAAGAATGAAACACAGATGGAAAACTGATGTATTAGACATCTCTTCACCCCCAAAATGCAAAACAAACTAAACACTAAAGGCTATTCATAAACAAGATTTATTTCAAGAATTAAAATTACTCAGGCCACATTTATCTCACAAAAACTTTGATGTCCCAAGGACTGAATCTCAAAACAAGAAGATGTGCTGAGTGAAGCCCATACAACAAATACAGCTGAATCTGCAAAGCTGTGGTTTTGTTAAGTCTGATTCACTCACAAGAGTAAAGTAAGTCATCCGAGAAAAGAAAGTTAAACAAATGGTGAGTGAATACGCTGGGGGGTAAAGAAATCCATACCGCTACAAGTGTGACACATAACATACCTGCAGTGCACTCCTAGGGGAGACATGGCCTTAGAAATGCCCTCTTCTTCCCGCACCCAGAATGAAAACACTGAAAGGCTGAAACTAAAAGCTATGAAAATCAGAATAATGCAGTAACATTATGGCCTCCTATGCTACATACTTGTCACAACCTTCACCTGTTTCCTGAGAGTAGGCAGCTTCTACTAAGACAAAGTTTCAGCTTCTCTGAAAGAAAGTAACTTCGAGTTTGGCTAACAGGAAACTGACATAATGAAGTGAAGAAATTACTTCTAATGTTATTTGTAGAAATTACTTTCCTATAAAGTAACAATTTGAAGTTATGTCTCACGTTAAAACTTTATATTTAAACTATAAAAACAGGAACTCAGGAGCCTGCATCATAGTCAGGCTAGCAGTCCATCAGTAGCAGTATCCAGTGCAAGCTGCTTCAAATGACATTGCAGCAGACATTCTGGAATAATTTACCCTGAACTGCAAGTTTCTTCTTAAGGTCCTGCCAACTGGTTGTTAGAACTATGCTCCAAAACCTCGAGCCTTGGCAGCTACAGTAATGAATTCTGAAATGGTAAGATGACTGTCTATATAACTACAAGAATGATGGAATAATGGCCAGCAGAAGAGACTTTCCTCAAGTACCTACTTACATAGTTTTTACTTTCAGTTTTCAGCCACACCTGCCTGCCTGCTAACAGGTGTGGAGCAAACACGATTACGTAAGAGTAACCTAGTTGCCGTCCCTGGAATGGAAGACGCGCTTTAAGTCCCCGATCCACGCTCTCACTACTTAGTCCTTTCTAGAACATCCCAAACCAAAACTAGAAACAGAAGGATAGAAATAAGTAAAGTAAGAACACCTCATCTGCCAGCCTTGCATGAAGGGAAGCTTTGGGAAGGGCCGGCACATCTTTTCCTCTTATGGAACAAAACCATAAACCAAAACAACAAAACCACAACCCAAAACAAACAAACCAGAAGCGCCGCTCTCCCGAGACGCGGGCGTGCGATCCCTCCTGCCCGTGCCTGGGCCAGAGCCGTCCCCCGGCCCCACGGGCGGGAGCTCCGCCGCGCACCGCCTGAAGTACCGGGCGCCGTCCACCCGACCGCCCCTCCGCCCACACGCCGGGCCCGGGCCGCGGGGAGCCCCGGAGCCCTACGGCGTGAGGAGAGCCCGCGCAGGCAGGCCGAGCCACCGGGCTACCGGAGACGGACGGCCGCCCGCCACACGGCGAGGCGCATCGGCACAGCCCGGCAAACCCCGGCAAACCCCGGCACATCCCGGCACAGCTCCCGGCCCCGCGGCCGCCCCTCACCTGGGCGCGGGGCCGCCACAGCTCCGCCGCGCCGCGCATGCGCCGCACCCGCCCCGGGCACGCCCCGCCCGGACGAGCCGCCGCGGAAGGGTCGCGCATGCGCGCGGCGGGGCTGTGCGCGCGGGCTCGGTGGCGGCCGTTGGCTCTGCTGGAGCTCTGAGGGGGCGGCGGCGCCGTCAGAGCCGGGGTTTGGGGTGGCGCGGAACTTCCCGAATGCTGCGCAAATGAGTGCGCTGACAGCCACTTAAAATATGAGGAAAGAGGCATCAAAGAGGTTCAAAAGCTTTACACTCATCTCAAAGAGGGGAAACATGGCAAAAGGAGTTATCATAGAATCAATTAGGTTCTGAGATCGTTGAGTCCAGCCTATGACCAAACACCACCCTGTAAACTAGACCATGGCAGTAAGTGCCCTGTGCAGTCTTTCCTTCAATATCTCCAGCGATGGTGACTCCACAACCTCCCTGGGCAGCCCATTCCAATATCTAGTCTTCCTTTCTGTGAAAAAATTCCTTCTAATGTCCAACCTAAACCTCCCCTGGCATGGTGTAAGACTATGCCCTCTCATCCTGTCACTGGTTGCCTGCGAGAAGAGGCTGATGCCCACCTGGCTACAACCTCCTTTCAAGTAGTTGGGGAGAGTGATAAGGTCTCCCCTGAGCCTCCCTCAGGTTAAAGAACCCCCTCTCCTTCAGCGACTTGTCATAGGACTTGTGCTCCAAGCCCTTCACCAGATTCGTTGCCTGTCTCTAGACATGCTCCAGCACCTCAATGTCTTTCTGGAACTGAGAGGCCCAGAATTACGCACAGAGCTCGAGGTGTGGCCTCACCAGTGCTGCGTACAGGGCAAGAATCGCTTCTTCCTGTCATGAGTGAAGGATTTACGTGGTTGGTAAACGTGAGGTCGTGAAATATGTGGATTTCATTTCCATGCATATAAAACAAGGGCAAATAAATAGGAGGAAGTAAATCCTTTGGTTCAATGAATATAACTAGAGTAGCTATTCTTGTTTTGAGAATTCCAGAAATGCTACCAGCACCCAGAAATCTGTCAGAAAACTTTGCATTCAGACATGAAAGCCATTCATTAGAGAAAACTGAAAAGGCTGTGTGGAAGGGCTAAGCAAAGACACAATGAATTGACCAAACAGAAATGGATGAAAGAAAACTTTTATTGTTACGATCTTGTTAAAGAGCCTGAAACATGCTGATTAAAAAGGTCAACAAGACCTAATAAATTCCTGAGTGAAAAACAGAAGGACCTTTAATCTCCATGTCGTCTCATAAACAACCTGTCAAATGCAAAACCAAAAATGTCTGCGATCACATGAAATGACACTGTTATTTTGAAAATATGACACCGATGGATTCCAGTCCTACCAATCTGAAATGCTGTGAGAGAATGCTAGTGACACATATTCCTAGGATGTATTTTTGAGTATTTAAATGCCAGAGTTGGGTCTGCTCTATTCTAAACTGTGGCATGAGATATGTGATATCTGGACTCTGGATTTGGATCCCTTACTGTTCAGGAGGTTTGGGTTCTGAGGAATAGCATGTTAAGAATTCTCTTGTATCATCATTGTATCATCATTACTCAGACATGGTCCTGTTTTCCTGTTTGCCTTATACCCAGAAACAAGCCTTACTGATCTCCACAGAGGCCAGATTTCTCAGGATATGGAGTATGTATGGGTGCTCACTGAAAACTGCTCTTCAGAGAGCAAGCAGCCTATGCCTGGGACAGACAACCTGCAGTTCAGTTCAGGTGATTCAGAACAGATTTGGAATGTGTGATACCAGGCTTTCATTCAAGGGCAACAGGTAGGAGAACCGAAATACTGCCTGTTTAATAGAGGAGTTTTCTTAGATAATCAAGTTAAATCTGTTTTCTGAATAAATTAAATCTTATCATCTGAATTCTTCCTGCTCCAAAATATGCCTTTTTTTGTGGTTTTAATAATATTTCTGTCATTGCCTCTTCTCTTCCTTTTCCTTTCATTTGATTATTCCCCGATCCAAGATCTTATTCACTGTGTGAGTTTAGTGACTACTGTCAGTGGCAACAGGATGTTTTCCTTTTTCCTTATGTTGTACAGTGGTTGATTTGTTTATCCTAAAGGTGAGTGTTTTGACAGATAAGTATTAACTTTTTGTTCACTTCCCTGTTTATTCTGGCCATACAACAGGAAAAGTGTGAGAAGAATATGAGTGAAGTATGACTGCATGTTTATTCAGTTCAGGTGTTTCAACACTTTTATTAAAAAAGGTGTTGAATCTCTTCTTTCAGGAGAAGATGCAGAAATCATCTTTTATGGCTTAAGAGGGACAAAGGCAAGTATTTATCCAATGAGGTGGTTAAATAATAGGTCTTGTGTGCTTACTGAACAATTAATAAAGGTGTTGATGCATGGACTTCATAAATGCTTATGGGACAAAGAATCTTTTGTCCTAACACAGGAGTAAAAAGAAATGTTTGGCAAACTTTGAAAGTAAAGCATAGCCAGGTCAGAAGAATTTGGTTTCATATTACATTGTCAGAACTGGAAATGCTGGGTCTGAAAACACTATGTACTCAATCTTTTTTTTCTTCATATACTTACTGATTTGGTTTGGTATTACAGGCAAAATACAATTTAACAGATACTAAATTGTGTTAAGTTAGTCTACAAATAAATAGCTTTGTTCACCTCACTTCATTGAACCAACGTCTAATTCTTATGATATTTTAATACAGGTGTGCTGTCTCCTTTGCAAACTCCTGGGCTTTTGGGCCAACTGAGGATTTTGGGAAGCTGTGCAAACCAGCAGCCCCAGTGACTGTTTTTAACACTTGCAGCATCAGAGCATTGCACCAGTCCAGAGTCCTCTGGAGAGCAGCAAGCCCTGTTGTATTCCCTCACTTTCCCAGCACAGTCACCTTTTCTGTCTTTAGTATAGTCTCCAGTGTGTGGGAAGCTACAGGGTATAGAAGGATAGCTTTACTTAATCAGTGCAATACTGTCTGAGAAATCTCGTGAGAGTATTATTTTCTGATGGAGAAATCTATATGATTTACACTGTTGTCATGCAAGAGCTACTGTTTGCTTCAAAGTAGGCTAGATGTTATGTTTTTCTGGAGTTCAAAAGTTATTTGTGTTTATATGGTGGTGGTGGCTTTGGGAGTATTTTTTGTGTCATGAGTGTTGAATCTGTTAAGACTATTTCTACTGACTCTTTACTGTGGATTGTAACTTGTCCAGCATCTTCATTTTTCTAGCTTCATCTTAATTTTATGAACCTGAGAGCTGTGATAAGCATCTTCTCATTCTGTGTGGCCTCTGTATATTTGCGTTATTTCTAATAACCACTGGGTGTCGTGTGTCTCTTTGGATTACAGGATATAGAGAAGGACAAACTTGGTCCAATCAAGGACTGCCTGTGGACTTTTCTTTCAGGATGAAAAGGCCTTTATCTAATTTACATAAAATTACAATAACTTTAAAACAATGTTATTTATTTAGGCGCATGGTGTGATTCTTGGGGTTGTCTTGTACAGCACCAGGAGCTGGACTTTGATGATCCTTGTGGGTCCCTTCCAACTCAGAATACTCTGTGATTCTGTTATTTATGTGCCAAGGGCAACAAATATGAGATAGGAGTCTACAAACAACAGCCTGATTCTCTACATGATTTATTCCTAATACCATTTAGCCAGTCTGAAGGACACATTTGGTGGAAAAACCCTAAGATGTCAGTAGGTAATTAAAGATATCCTGAAACATAAATGCATAATGTAGCAGAATTAAAAGTGCATTGGTGGTCTCAGATCTGTATTTTCCTAGATTTTAGGAACTATGTTTGACATGGCTGTATTTGAGAATATTATTTTGATAAGGATTTTGACCTGTTATTTTCATAATTTTTACAAGCAAATGAAAAGGCAAGAATTTGTAACTTAATATGCAAGGATAATAAATGTACTTCATGCAGAAGAGAACTTGAATATTGAACCTTCAGTACAGACCTGTGCTATGGAGGATTAAAGACCAACCATATTAGTTGCACATAGAAGGATTACATTTCCTACAGACTAGTCATCAGAGAGATCATATGATGTGGTAACATTGATACAGGCATGTGCTGTGCCTCATAGTATGGATACATGAGCCAAGGATGTAGACTGGACGTAGGCTTTCCGAGAATCTTGGATGCCACTGTGACTCAGTTGCTTTCCCTGTAGGCTTGTTATGTTAGATAGCTGAATTAATCTGGTGTGGGGGGCTTCTCTTAGTAGAGGCTTAGCTTAACAATGTTTGTGAAATGTTCAGAATTACTAGAACCATTTAAAAGACAAATACAGAACTGGCTCTTGATTTGCAGGGCAAAGTACGTTCCCCTATTGTAAGATATAGAAGCAGGATTTATTTTACCTATAATTTAGAAATCTACACTATCACAGTGAAAAATGGAACAGTTTGTGCCCAATGCTATGAGAATTGTGAGGGCTTATAGGAGCAAATCAAGAAAAGCTGCTAAGTGCTGATTTTTACGGTGGGCTGGGTATAGTATAGCCAAATCTGAACAGGTTTTTATGGCACTAGAAAAAGGCAGTGATACTTCACAAATCTTCAGAGCAACTTCTGAAACTTGTTCAGTACAGCAGCTCTTCTGAAGAAGTCTTGTTGTATAAGAGGATGTCAGTATTAGAACATGCTTTCGTTCTGGAGTAATTTATGGCCTTGCTGAGGTCCATAATTACTGTTTGCAACCTCTGGTCATGGAGAAACTAAAAACCAGTTTTTATTTCAAGTGATATAGCAGAATGGACAGAAGATACCACTCGGATTCCTAATCTCCAAGTCTGCTTTCTGTTGTGCTGAATTCATGAGGAACTACTGGGGGCTCACTGCTTTTGAAAATGGGGCCTCTTGTTTGCATGTCTTTGGGAAAATAATGGAGTTTCTATGAAATGTTCTGACAGTAATTGTCTTCCAGATTGTATTGATTTAACAAAAGGGAAACCTTTAAGGAAAATCTGTCAATACTGCTTAAAAGCTCACTGAAAAAATTTGTAG